TCTTGGCCAGGCTGGTCTTGAACTCCTGACCTCATGATCCACCCGCCTTGGCCTCCCAAAGTGCTGGGATTACAGGTGTGAGCCACTGCGCCCAGCCAATTTTTTTTTTTTAAATAAAAACTAAAAACATAAAGTAGCAGTTCTCCCAGCATCTCCAACTCATATCACTCCCCTATAACATCCCCTCTTTAGCAGTTATCACCTTTGTAATTTGCTCTTTTAAAATGCTTATTGCCTCTATTCCCTGCTAGGATGTTAACTCCATGAAGTTAGGGATTTGGGGACTGTTTTGTTGCACCAAACATCAAGTACCAAGAACAGTGCCTGATGGTCAATTCATCAAGTATATATAAGTTCTCCATCTCTTTGTTATTTCATGCATTACTTATACCAAATTAATTTTATTATAGCAGTCATGCCATGAAGAGATGCCTGCAGAGTCTTTTGGGGAAATCATTAATATTTTAAGAAAATGACTCTGATGTGTGTATTTTGCTGCCCTCTACATTGTATAATAAAGATACTAGAAATAAAGCAGTTGATTATTCCATATATGTAAGAAGCAGAAATCACTGCGGTATATCAGCATGAACAAGTAAATGAACAAACAGTAAACAAATAAAATAATTTCTGATACAAAGGAAGGCTATGAAGAAAACTGAAGCCTGGTGAAGAGCTCGAGTGTTGGGATAGACCAGGGAAGAAGGACCTCTGAAGAAGAGACATTTGAGCAGGTAAGTGACTCGGTAGAGTGACCCATGGAGCCAGGGGCAGCAGTAAATGTCAAGGCCATGGAGCGCCTGCCTCCCTGTTCATCCCATCACTAGGTGGCATCTCTGGGCTGGAGCCAAATGTTTTCTTGCCCCATTAAAGGGAGAGATGCCACTTTTCTCCATACAGATTTTTTCTTTTTATCATTCAGATATTTATCTGTATTAGGGTTCTCTAGAGGGACAGAACCAGTAGGTGAGATATATATATATACATATATATATGTGTGTATATATATATATGAGTTTATTAAGTAGTATTAACTCACACAATCGCAAGGTCCCACAATAGGCTGTCTGCAAGCTGAGGAGCAAGGAAGCCAGTCCGAGTCCCAAAGTTGAAGAACTTGGAGTCTGATGTTCGAGGGCAGGAAGCATCCAGCAGGGGAGAAAGATATAGACTAGGAAGCTAAACCAGTCTAGCCTCTTCACGTTTTTCTGCCTGCTTTATATCCTGGCTGCGCTGGCAGCTCATTAGATGGTGCCCACCCAGATTAAGGGTGGGTCGGCCTTCTCCAGCCCACTGACTCAAATGTTAATCTCCTTTTGCAACACCCTCACAGATACACCCAGGATCAATACTTTGCATCCTTCAATCCAATCAAGTTGACACTCAATATTAACTATCACATTATATAACATATTAGTTTTCCCAATTAATTTAAATATTTAGTTACTTTTAATTATCTAATTAGCTATGATCGTGCCACTGCATCCCAGCCTGAGCAACAGAGTGAGACTCAGTCTCTAAAATGAATGAGTGAATGAATGAATATATGCACCTACCACCCAAAAGAAAAGGTACAGACTTGATGATAACCTCTACCTATCCATGGAGTCCCCCAATTCGTTGCCTTGCCCCCACCCTCAACTGAGGTAAATATCATCCTGAATCCCAAGTTCATCGTTTTTAAATTTCTTTTTAATGTAATTTTATTGCAACTACACAAAATCCTAAATAGTTCATATCCTTTATATTAGTAGCTTTTTTTTTTTTTTTTTTTTTTTTTTTTTTTTTTTTAAGAGACAGGGTCTTGCTCTGTCACCCAGGTTGGAGTGCAGTGGCACTATCATAGCTCACTGCAGCCTTGAACTCCTCAAGAGGCTCAAGGGATCCTCCCACCTCAGCCTCCTGAGTAGCTGTGATTACAGGCACACACCACCACACCTGGCTAATTTTTAAAATTTTTGTAGGGACGGGGATCTCACTTTATTGCCCATGCTGGTCTTGAACTCCTGGCTTCAAGAGATCATCCCACCTTGGCCTCCCAAAGTGCTGGGATTACAGGCATGAGCCACTGTGCCCAGCCTATATTAGTAGCTTTTAAGTTTATAAAAGTGTGTTAAGTTTTATATAATCTTTTGGGATTATAGTTCCTCCCCCTTAATATTCATTCATATTGTTGGGTGTTGTTCTAGTTCATTCATTATGACTCCTGTTGATGAGCATCATTTTTGTTTCCAGGTTTTCCTGTTGTGAACAGGATGCCATGCTGGTATGGTTTGAATATTTGTCCCCTCCAAAACTCATGTTGAAATTTAATCCCCAATGTAGCCGTATTGAGAGGTGGGGCCTTCAAGAGGTGACTGAGTGTTGAGGTCTCTGCCCTGCCCTTATGAATGGATTAATCCATTAATGAGTTAGTGGACTAATGGGTTATCATGGGAGTGGAACTAGTGACTTTATAAGAAAAGGAAGAGAGGCCGGATGCAGTGGCTCACACCTGTAATCCCAACACTTTGGGAGACTGAGGTGGGCAGAGCACAAGGTCAGGAGTTCAAGACCAGCCTGACCAACATGGTGAAACCCCGTCTCTACTAAAAATACAAAAATTAGCCGGGCATGGTGGCACATGCCTATAATCCCAAGTACTCAGGAGGCTCAGGCAGAAGAATCGCTTGAACCCGGGAGGCAGAGGTTGCAGCCAGCCAAGATCGCACCACTGGACTCCAGCCTGGGCGACAGAGAAAGAATCCGTCTCAAAAAAAAAAAAAACCAAAAAAGAAGAAGAGGAAGAGAGACCTTAGCTAGCATGCTCAGCCCCTTCCCTGTGCTACCTTGGGACTCTGCAGACTCCCTACCAGAAAGAAGGCCCTCACCAGTTACAGCCCTTCAATCTTGGACTTCTCAGCCTCCAGAACTGTAAGAAATAAATTCCTTTTCTTTAGAAATTACCCAGTTTCAGGTATTCTGTTGTAAGCAACAGAAAACAGACTAAGAAACATACATATCCTAGGTTTCTTGTGCAAGTGTTTCTCTTGGCTACATTCATGAGAGTGGACTTACTGGATTGTAAGGCATGTATATATTCACTGTAGGAGAAAATGCAAAAATATTTTCTAAAGTGGTTGCACTGATTTACATTCCTTCAACAGGGCAAAAAGATCCTGTTGGCCCACATACTCTCCAACTCTTGGTATTATCAGACTTTTACGTTTTTGCAATTTGAATGGGTATAAAATGTCATTTTATCAGATCTTGATTTGTATTTCCCTAATCACAAATAACTTTGAACATCTCTTTATATGTTTGCTGGTTCTATATTTCCTTCTTCTCTGAAGTGGTCTAACAGAACTTTTTTTTGGTACCATTATGACATCCAAGAACACTAACAGTGATTCTTGGCACTCTATTAGAAGTGCATGCATGCCAAATATGCTTCCACTGATTCCATTTCTTCTTTCATTTATTCATTCAACAAACATTTGCCCAGACCAGGGATGCAAGGGCAGAATGACAAGCTGGAATAATCAAAGTTCAACTACTATGGTTCGAATGTTTGTCTCCTCTGAAACTCATATTGAAATTGTCATTGTAACAGTATTAGGAGGTGGGGCCTTTAAAAAGTGAATAGGTCATGGAGGCTCCATTCTCATAAACTGATTAATGCTGTCACTGAGGGAGAGGGTTAGTCGCCTCAAGAGTGGGTTGTTATAAAGTGAGCCCAGTCCCTTGTGCTTTCTCTTTGTTCATACACTTGCTTGTCCTCTTGTCCTCTGCCATGGAATAATGTAGCAATAAGGCCCTCACCAGATGCTGGCACGACGTTGGACTTCCCAATCTCCAGAACTATGAGCCAAATAAGCTTCTTTTCTTTATAAATTACCCAATTCTGTTATAGTAGCAGAAAATGGACAAAGATACCAACTCTCTAAGAAAATAAAAATGAAATTGGACTATAAAAATCTGCCTTGCTATTCATCAGGATGGAAGAACAGACACATATAAAGCCAAATGCAAAATTCACAAGAAACATTTCTTTTAAGGACATGCTGCAGTTGTAATGCCATAAAGAACCCCTACTTTAAATGCCTATTGCTTTCTTAGTCAATGAGAAACTTTGTTCTCTACAATCATAGACTATCAGAAACTTTGCTGTTTGAAATGATATCAGTAAGAGTGAAACATCTGACTCATGGGAGATTCTAAGTCACTACCAGACAGAGAAGCAAGATTCAATTTTCAACCCAGGTGCAAAGCTTTAGGCAAGAGTTATCTGGGGACACAAAATTCTACATCTAAATTGTTCCCAAGGAAACAACACTCTGGGTTCACTTCACAGTTGAGACCTATCAATGACCCTTTATATACAGCCCTGCTTTGCTTTGAACCCACTAAAACACTGCTTTATTTAAATTTCATCTGAACTCCACTATTCCTCAAAATCCCATAAGAAATCTATCTTTTCCTTTGCTTACTGAGCTGCCCATGGTGCCCCTGGTGTGCAGTCTCCCTTATTGATTGCTGGATCTGTCAGACTACAAATTAGTTTGAGACTAACTGGACTAGGACACCTCTAACCTTCAAGATTGTTAAACCGAGGACCAGAGGGGATAAGACTGGATTGAAAGCCCCCAGCAAGTCCACACTTCAGCCTACACCAGGTCCTCTCAAAATATTTTTTTCACCTGAGGATTCAGAAAGGCTTTCAGGAGGGCACACAGGCTTCTAGCTGTCAGGAGGATTCTCTGGAGGAGGAGATATTTGAACTTGGTTTTGAAGGAAGAATAGGCATTCCTAGGTGAAGGGCTGCACGACTTCTTCCCCTTCTGCTCCAGTGACATCTCCCAGAGGGCAGTGGCATCTCCAGAATTTACACATTGGAGGTGGTATGGGGCAGCAAACTGGTTGAAGGGTATAAGCAGAGCCTTGTATTAAAGCTACATTTCAAAAGTAAGGGCACCATGACCGCATATATTTTACTTCATGAGGAAATAAAAATAATAAAGTTTCCTAAATATTTTTATTGACATATTGCATTGGACTAAGGGCACATTAAAAATTATTAGTATTGATACATAGTCCCTTTTTAGTTGGGGTAGATGGAGTGGGAGATAAGGTAGATTGCTGGAGCATTCAAACCCCGCATCCAAGCCCCACAGGCACAGCAGGAGGGGAACCCAGCACTCTGAGTTCTCCCCTTTTCCCACCTCATGGCATATCCTAGGAGGGCTTGCACAGCCCTGATTTCTCCTCCTCCTTCCCTTGTGGTATGTCCTAGGAAAAGCCTGTAACCAGCCTGACGTCTCCCCGCTTCTCATCCTGTGGTATCTGCCAGGAGATAGCCGCAGCCGCCCGATTCTTTCCAAGAGGCCCTTCAGTGTCTTGGAACGGTATGACACAGATTCGTAGACTACAGATCCAAAGACCCCTACTCCAGTTAGCCTGCCCAGAGAAACGTCCCCACCCCTGCTCCCCGCCACCAGCGGGACAGCTACACCTGAGTTTAGAGCAGACAGCCTGCTCTGTGAGTTTAGAGGTGTCCTCATCCTCAATACGGAATGGACACTCCTCCAACATGGTGTACCCCATGGGGAAGCGCGACGTGGGCGCGGCCATGTTCCCCACCTGACCACGCCGCCGAGGGTCACCCAACGTCCCAAAGCACCACTTCCGTAACTTCTCCATGTTGACTCCTGGCTAACAGCAGCTTCAAAGGTGGTTTTGCGCACGCGCGGACCCCCCTCCCTTTCCCTCACTCATGCGAAGTCCCAAACCCCGAAAAAGGGCGGTGCTAGGGGTAGTGACCGGAAGCGGCTGCGGTTCTCGCCGGTTCTCAGCCGGGGTTTGATAGTTGTCAGGAGGATTCGACGTTCAGTGCCCAGGGATGTGGAGGTGATGGGGGGCCGGGGAGGGTGAGTGCTGGGCGATTCTGTGTGGTCAGTGATGGAATCGTTTATCTAACTTGAGTTAGATGATTCGCTTATCATTTTGCAGGCTTTTCTCTTTTCTAATATCACCGTTAAGGTCTTAAAGTTCATTCTAAGCCCCATTGGGTTTGGAGCATTATGTTTTTTAAGAGTGTTAACTTGTATTCATTTGTCTTTTACCCAGGAGTTTTCAAAAGTGGGGTTTCAGTGTGCAAAAGTTTATCGTTGTAATGGATTTCTAACCTTAGTTTTCTGTGTTAGAAAAATATCTACGTGAAGCTCATTCCTTGAAATATAAGGAGACTTATGGCCTAGTCGTGGTGAATTTTTAGAAACGTTCTGTATATAACTTGAAAATAATATTTAATTATTTAGTCGTCAGTTGTGTCATAGAAAATCTAATCTATCCTTTTTTGTCTGCTTCTTCTATTACTTTGAGGAGAGAGAAATTCTCCACTGTGATGGTGATTTGTCTGTGTCTCCTTACTGCTGTCTGTGATCCACTGTGAGTTACTTTTATATAAAGTATGAGACTTAGGTCGAGGTGAATTAATTTGCTTATGGATGTCCAGACTCAAGCACCATTTGTTGAAAAGACTATCTTTCCTCCATTGACTTGTCTTTCACAATTGTCAAAAATAAGTTGGCCATACTTGTGTGTAGGCTCTTTCTGGGTTTGCTATTCAGTTCATTGTCTATGTGTCTATCCCTCTGCCAGTACTACCATGCTGTCTTGAATTGGATAGAGTGATTCCTCTCACTTTATTCTTTTTCAAAATTGTTTTAATGCCTGTGGTTCCCTTGCCTTTCCTATATGCATTTTAGAAAATCTTGTCTCTATCTACAAAGCATCTTGCTTGGATTTTGATAGGAATTACATTAAACCGGTATACCAACTCGGGAAGAAGTTAAGTCTTAACTGTGTCAAGTGTTCTAATCCATGTACATAGTATGTCTCTCTATTTATTTAGATCTTTTAAAATTTCTGTAAATGGTGTATTATAATTCTCATCACCCAAGTTCTATACATCTTATTAAATTTATACCTAAGATTTATTTTTTTTGCAGTGGTTGTAAATGGTGTTATCTTTCAAATTGCTGCTTATATATAGGAATACAATTGAGTTGTCTGTTGGTCTTGTATCCTGCAATCTTGCTGAGCTCACTTATTAGGTTTTACTTCTTTTTTGGTAGATTCCTTGGGTTTTCTGCATGAGCAATCATGTCATATACAAACAGGGATAGTTTTATTTCTTTCTTTGCAATCTCTATACCTCTGCTTTTCTTCCCTTATTACACTGGCAAGAAGTTCCAGTACTATGTTGAATAAGAGTGGTGAGAGTGGACATCTTTGCTTTGTTTTCAGCCTTAGGGGGAAAATATTCAACCTTTTACCACTAAGTATGATTTTAGCTGTAGGGCTTTCTTTTTTTGGACCCTCTTTTTTGAGCTGAGGAAGTTCCCCTCTATTCTTAACTTCAAAAGTAGTTTTTATCATGAATGGGTGTTGAATTTCATCAACACTGTATGAATTTTTATGATCTTGTGATTTTTTTTTTCTTTTTTAGCTTGTCAGTATGGAGGATTACGCTGATTGATTTTTGAATATTGAACTAGTCTTACATTCCTGGAATAAACCCTACTTGGTTGTGATGTATAATTCTTTGGATATATTGAAGGAATTGATTAGCTAATGCTTTTTTGAGGATTTTTGCATCTAAGTTCATGGGAAATATTTGTCTATAGTTTTCTTTTTTATACTATCTTCATCTGGTTTTATTTTTTATTTTTGAGACAGGCTCTCACTCTGTTCCTCAGGCTGGAGTGCAGTGGTGTGATCATGGCTCACTGCAACCTTGACTTCCCAGCCTCAAGTGATCCTTCTGTCTCAGCCCCCTGAGTAGCTGGGACTGCAGGCACATGCCACCACACCCAGCTAATTTTATTATTTTTTGTAAATGGGGTCTCACTATGTTGCCCAGGCTGGTCTTAATCTTCTGGGCCCAAACAGTCCTTCTGCCTCAGCCTCCCAAAGTGCTGGGATTACAGGTGTTAGCCACTGCTCTTGGCCTTGTCTGGTTTTAGTATTAGGGTAATACTGGCCTCATTGAATGAGTTGGGGACTATTTTCTCCTCTTCTATTTTCTGGAAGAGATTGTGTAGAATAAGTACTAATTTTTATTTAAATGTTTAAATATTTGGTAGACTTCTCCGGTGAAGCCATCTGGGCCTGGAAACTTCCATTTGGAAACTTTTTGATCATGGCTTCAATGTCTGAAATAGTTATGTAACTATTCAGATTATCTATTTAATATCATTTTAGACTATCTACAGGTTAAGCTTCCCTAATTCAAAAATCTGAAATTCAAAATGCTTCAAAATCCAAAACTTTCTGAGTGCCGACATAATGCCACAAGCAAAATTTCACACCTGATTTTGTGACAGGTCACAGTCAAAATGCAGTGAAAACTTTGTTTCATGCACAAAATTATTAAACATGTTATATAAAATTACCTTCAGGCTATGTTATAAGGTAACATAGTGTACATGAAACATAAATGAATTCTGTGTGTATACTTGAGTCCCATTCTACAAGATACTTTGTTATGTATATGTATATATTCCAAAATTTTAAAAAAATCTGAAATCTGAAACACTTCTGTTCCCAAGCATTTTGGATAAGAGACAGTCAACCTGCATTTAATAGTGGGTTAATTGTGGTACTTTGAGTTTTACAAGGAATTGGACTGTTTCATCCAAGTTGTTGAATTTATGTGCACAAAATTGTTGTGGTATTCCCTTACTATCCTTTTAATGCAAGCTTGTCCAGCCCGCGGTCCGTGGGCCACATGTGGCTCAGGGCAGTTTGGAATGCAGCCCAACACAAATTTGTAAACTTTCTTAAAATATTATTGAGAGGTTTTTTTTTGCAATTTTTTTTTAAGCTCATCAGCTATCGTTAGTGTTACTGTATATTATGTGTGGCGAAAGACAATTCTTCTTCTTCCAGTGGGGCCCAGGGAAGCCAAAAGATTAGATACCCCTGTTTTAATGGCTGTAGGATCTGTAGTTACATCTCTGTGTTTCATTTCTAATATTGGTAATTTGTGTCTTCGTGTCTTCTCTCTCTCTCTCTTTTTTTTTTTCACAGAGACAAGTGAACATTTATTTTTGTGCCTTTCTTCCTATGTGTATTCCAAGTCTTTTTCAAAACAAGGCTGCAGAAATCTTCAGATTCAATTATGTCCCTGGGCTTGGTCGACTGCTGTAGGAGTCTTAGGAAGCCTTATACAAATGCTAGAGTTACTCATTAACCAACATTAAACCCTAGGATAGAAGATGCAGCAAAGCAGGACTCCTTCCTCCGTGTAATGTGCTGATTTCAGATGAGGCGGCAGTCAATGTAGAAAATGCTGGAATTTTTCCTTGGAACTGGACTGTGATGAGAGGTGCTTGCCGTGAACATAAGCTACTGTCTTTTCTTTTCTTTCTTTCTTTCTTTTCTTTCTTTCTTTCTTTCTTTCTTTCTTTCTTTCTTTCTTTCTTTCTTTCTTTCTTTTTCTTTTCTTTTCTTTTCTTTTCTTTTCTTTTCTTTTCTTTCTTCTTTTTTTTTTTTTTTTTGAGACGGAGTTTTGCTGTTGTTGCCCAGGCTGGAGTGTAATGGTGCAATCTTGGCTCACCGCAACCTCCGCCTCCCAGGCAGGTTCAAGCAATTCTCCTGCCTCAGCCTCCCGAGTAGCTGGGATTATAGGCATGTGCCACCATGCCCGGCTAATTTTTGTATTTTTAGTAGAGATGGGGTTTCTCCATGTTGATCGGTCTGGTCTCGAACTCCCGACCTCAGGTGATCCGCCCGCCTTGGCCTCTCAAAGTGCTGGGATTACAGGCATGAGCTACTGTCTTTTCTTTGACCCTTCCTTTCCAGTTTTTGAAGATAAAGCAGGAAAGAAACTTCTCTGAAGATACTTGATAAAAATTCCCCCCCCCCCAAAATAAAAACACATGCTTCTACTTCACTGATACAAATTTACTGCAGTTTGACACCTGGGTCTAGTTCAGCTGGCGGCTGAGCTGATTTATGTGTTCACCCCGATAGCCAGGTGTGCCCATCTCCTTGAGGAAGCCCACTCTATCTTTGGTAGCATGATGGGCCACTGAGAGGTGGAAAGGGCTCAAGAACCATGAGATCTGGAAATGCTTCCCTGGGCAGGCAATTTCATGAATGAGGTCTTCCAAGCAAATAACACCAAACTTCCCCAGGTGCTCCTCAATCACTGTGTTGTCTGTCAGAGGGATGATCTTATTCTTGACCTTGGCTTGTCCACGTTTAAAAATGAGTTCCCGAACAGACTTCAGATTTGGAAATGCCCAGGTCACGTAAGTTTCCACTGTATGCAACATTTTTAGGTTCTGGGAGGTAACTTTTACAAAGACACCACTAAAAATTTTCTTTAGGCAATGGTTCTCTGCACCAATAAACTCATGCCATCAATCCTTTCGATGCATACAGCAAAAGCCAAGGATTGTTTATCTGGCAATTCCAAGGCATGAGGTTTCACTTCTAGTCGTCTGAGACACACCTTGTCACCTTTCTGCCTCCAGGAATCATGTAGGAATGATTCCAGTCACTTAAACCTGAGCCCTTTCCCTTTTCTCTGCTCCTTCTTTGCCAAAAGTGCCTGCTTTGCCTGGGTGGCTTTGAGGGCTTGATAAGCCTTCCTCTTTTTCAGGAGATTTTCTGGAACCAAAGGGATTTTTCTTTGCTCTTGCTC